ATTTACACTTTTACAATTCATTGACTTTGTTTAAGCATTATGCACATTTGTGTTACCCAGAAAACCACGTCATTTCAGAAAAAGTACACCAGATCGTTTTTCAGACATTTCACCTTCATTTTTGACCTTTCCAAGGTCGCAAAAACAATTTTTTCATAAGACAAGTTTGATGTAAAATTTTCCGCTCTTTCGAAATCCGCAGTCAAAAATAGGGTGTCCCATTAGAAAAAACCATCGTGACCTTGAAGTAACCTTCAAAATTGACCTCAAGGTCAAAACCAATGGTACAATTGAATGACCCCCTCTGTCCTGGTCAACTTTTATCTAAACCATTTTTTTGTAGATACCGTAATTTGGAAGATATTCTGATCCATAGACTAAAATGACTCACCCTGTATATTGACCATTAAAAGAAAATTTTCGATAAAATTTCGGAATTTTATTTTATCGATTATTTACAATCTTTCTAGACGTCTATTCGATATTGAATCGACGTCTAATATCCCAGATCGACGTCGAAAAGACGTCAATCAATAAGTCATTTCTCACTGAGATCGCGCTCGTTTTGCATAAAAAATTTATTCTAAGTGGAAACGTCAGTTTTTTTTTAGATTTCCGATTCAATTATAGTATTACAAAGATAGGAATGTCAGATTACTCGAAAAACATTAAATTGGAAGGAATGATCAAAGTCATTTTGCAAATAACTACATAAACTTTAGAGATATTAAATAAAACAGACAGGCGAATCAACGCATGTATTTGCTAGGTACGTTATAATATACTGTAAACACTGTAAGTATACATTTTATAAGCATAAATTGTAAGGACATCATTGGAGTCATTGGAACACCGCGTGCCGCTCGATCGTCAGGTTAAGCAACGCAGTTAGGATGGATGGGTGCCACTTCGAATTCGAAATTATCGAGACAGGATTCGCAAGAGTTTTAGCGTGTGTTTGACAATCTTCGGTTTCTAGCAGTTTATAAGACATAAAGAAAATTAGGAATTAGTTATTTTTATTAAACAATCTAGTGAGAAATGACTTATTGATCGACGTCGAATCGACGTCGAAATGACAGTCTGTTAGATATCGATAAGACGTCGAAATGACGGTCTATTAGACATCTAAATGTGGACCGTTTTTAGGTCGATATAGATCTTAATCTAGATTAGACGTAGGTGGTAGATAGACGTTTCATATAGACGTCTAGTAGACGTCGAATCGACATAACCTTTCTTGCTGGGTTAGATTTCTCGAAGAGAATTCTCAAGTCCTGAGGATTCTTTAAAAATTTGGAGGGATTTATTTGTTCGGCTTTATTCTTTGTTTTATAACAAAGAAACTTTACTTTGTTGTAAAACAAAGAATAAAGCCAAACAAATAAATCCCTCCAGATTTTTAAAAAATCCTCAGGACTTGAGAATTCTATTCGAGAAATCTAAACCAAAATATTCGTCTCTAATTAATTGCGCGCGATACTGATTCCGCAATAACTGCGGAAGCTTAACGATAAAGAGAGGCGAGAGCTTTAGTCATCATCCACCAAGTACAAGAATAACCGGAAGAGGAATTCAGATAAAGCCGTAACGTCGATGTTGGATTTCCAAATGACGCTACTCATTGAAGTGTCGTTAAATGGTCTTGTCCGATTCTGAATTGTCCGTTTCTGAATTTTTCGAATTTAAAACAACTGTAAAGTTAGTTTTACTCGTTCTTCAATTTATTTCTTCAAATTATCCTAATATTCGGGCAACAACAAATTTCTCGATGAATTTACATACAAATATACACGACATTTAGTGCAAAAACTCGTTAATGAAAATCACAAATTCGTATATAATCATAAAATTATAAGTTATAATAATTACTAGAATAAATCACGTATGTAGTGTGATTGTAATAATTTCAATCTGTTTAGGATCGAAAAAGAAAAGAGAGAAAGAAAGGGACAATGCGTTTATTATTGATATCGCGTTCGGGAATATTCTGAAGGACTCTTGAAACTTTCAATAGCGAGCTGTGAGATTCCTCCAAAATATTTAGCGACCTTAAGTCGTTGCGATCGCTGCGATCAATCATGTGGCAACTGCATGATCTCGGCTCGATTCGCTCTTCGGACGACGCGCTTCCCGAACCTGACGTGCATTGATTCGGCACATAAGAACCACGATTATGTAAACATACATTTTAGCAACCGATTTTAGCAACGGTGCTACTCAAATTCGAAAGCGACCAATACCGTCTCGCTACCGTCGGCCGTTAGACAGTTAAATAGCACGCGAACTCTAAGACCAGCTAGACTGCGAATAATTTTCAAACAAGTAACAGTTTTTTGAAGTCATCGCACGTTCTCAATTTTTCAATTTCACGTTACAATTCGTTCAGGAATTATATTCCGCGTACTTAATTCGTGCTTCGAAAGCATATACGTCGATTTTGTTAACGTTTGTTGTTAATTAAGGAAATAAAGAAAATTGACTAAAACTCAAGATATCTCGTCTGTGTTATTCTTACGAGTTCATTTCCTAATCTGGAAAAGAAGTTGGCTCCTCTTGTCGCCAGCAAAAATCACGGCGCTATAATTGCGTGCGTGAAGTGTGTGGCTTCACTCCCGCAAATCCACGAATTAAAAGTCGAGTCACATACATAAGGAGAGTCACATACACAATCGAAAATTATTAGGTTTATACAAAAGTCTTTTCTCATAGACATTGAACAATCGGTGATGCATATGAACAAAATATTTTTCCCGTAGAAATATGCCAACAAATGAGTGTGTATTCTATGGGAAATTACTTTTAAATCAATCTGATGAATTAGATTTCGAATTTCGTTGTTATTGGCGCGCATGTCACTACTGCGGTGCATGCGTGATCACGAAGTATATCTCGGTATATGTGGGTCATGAATTTCTCACGTGTACATGACGTTGAGTACCTTTAGGCGTTAGGTTAACTACTTGTCACCGGCAGTCACTAGTCATTCCTCATCATCAGTTTTAATGTCATTTGCTCCAAGTTAAAAAACAATTCTTTCCTGATAGGATACCACATTCAAAATGACAGTGAGCTTCATGTTTGTTTTCTGCTGAACATTCATCCTTGATCAAGATCGACACTTTCATAATAAGTGATCTAATTGTTATTCAAGCGATTCATAACATAAGTTCACTGAAAAGTAACGCAAAAGCTCATTGTATGCGTGCGATCATGATTGGTGATGAACCTTCGAGCTGTAGGAAATATTCGCAACTGACAATTGTATTTTTTTACGCAGACGAAGAAGGGCAAGGTAGCGACTAAAGGTGCGAAGCAGATAGTAGAGGAGAATCAATCTACGCTGAGATTCTACACTAATATGGCCTTGGGCGCAATGGGAATTTATTTTGCCGTGACGATGATATTGTTTGAATTCACGATGCTGGCGATAGTAAGTGCCACAATCCAGATTTCAGTTGAATGCTGTAGTCATTGTATGTGTATTGTATTCAGCAGAGAAAGCTGCTTTGCAACTGTTGTAAAATTCGTGTATCTGACTAGTATATACTATTAGATTCAGCCAAGATTAAGGACACATCAATCAGATTTGTGAATTTTGCAATTGCAAAGTTTTCCTCACTGAAAGCAGCTCTTCTTGAGTACAAGACTCTTCAATAGTGTGTAATACATTATCATTACAGACTTTAACAGCATTTTCTGGCATTGTATATGCAGGCAGCTGCCAGTTTATGCACTACATGGCTCGTGCCACTTACTCAGAGTCTGGCCAACTTCTGGATTCTGGTGTAGATCTCAATATGGACGGAGGTATAGCGGAGTAAGTAATTATTATGATTGAATATGTTATTTACATTAATTTTATCTTTCATTTATTTCAATGATTTAATCACATTCTGTCTAGGAATGTCAAGGATTTAATTATATTGACATCAGGAGTACAAGTATTATCTCTTGTGTCAAACTACTTTTGGCTGCTGTGGCTTCTCGTAAGTGCTAATTATTTTTATTTTGTTAGTTGATTTATTCAACATGATAAAGAACTTACAAATTCAAATAGAATACATTACATACATTATAAATAAAAGTTTCTTTGACATATACTGGAAATTACATATAGGCACCATTGAGAGGAGGCTGGATGCTTTGGAAACAAGTCTTGTCTCCATGGTTCTTTGCTGAGCCACAAGAAGCACCTGAGATGAGCGAGAAGAAGCAGCGCAAGTTGGAGAAAAAAATGGCGAGACGACATTAGTGAAGTTCCTGAGCGTCACAATGCAGTACAGAAACTGTAAATTGTCAGTGACAATTGTTTTAATCAGGGAATGGGGAAATAAGCTAAGGAAGTATTGGAAACAGAAAGAGGTCGCAATACAGGTAGCTCTCTTTTTTATAAAATATACCCAATATACCCATATCGAGAGTTACGATAATTTCATTTATGATAGTAATTAATATAAAAATAGATGGGGGTTCACGTGCCATGAAGAGGAATGCAGAGAAAGTGTGTTTTTTAATGGCTGAAGGGTACACAAATTAGGAGAAAGGATCTTATCTTTGCTCAGGCATTCCAAGCGATTAATTTGCGATAGATTGTTCCGACCTTATTCGTTGTTGCTAATAGTCTTTTGTAATAGTTATTTGTAAAAATAACAATTCCGTTTTCTAAAAATTTTCCACTGTGCGTAAAAAGTAGTGTAACAAAATGGTGAACAGGTGCCTTCATGAAAACGAAGAGATACATGAAATATCGAAGCGCGTGTTCTCGGAGATGTGGAAAGGTCGAAAATTATATGTTGTGTTGATAATATCCGCGAATGTTATATATTTGAGAGTTTAATCGTTTTTCTTATAACACAAGTCTACTCAACTGATATCAGGTTGTGATCTATTGACTGAATCAATGCTATTGCCATTCGGTAATGTCGTATAAATAAGTACTATACTTATTAAATTCTGGAAGTTTAGGAATCACAGTTGCATTTAAATCTATGATATATTGTAGGTCACAATCATTTTCTTTAGGAATGCTTAATTGGAACAAATGTGTTATCGGTGACGTCACATCGTTCCGGTCAACAACATTGTATACACGGTATTACATGTATGGTATTTATATTAATCATTAAACTTATATTCTCTATACATTGGTCACGGAATGCTTTTGTACAGTTTGCCACAAGTATTCCCCTTAGGCCAACTTTTGTACTTCCAGCTTTTTTCTTGTGGTTTTATATTTTGACTTTTGCGTTTATATCCTAGTAAGTAATCTGTGCGCAGACTGACGTCAGATTGATGATAGATTCAAGTAGAATCTATCGACAGATCCATGAACATCTGTGTCCCCGATCTGCTGTTAGATTGTGGAGAGTTTGTTGACAGGCTCTAACGACAAATTGGCGACAGAATGCGCGCAGATCCTGCTGTCGTTAGAGTCTGTCAACAAACTCTGCGAGCAATCTATCTTCACTCTGCCATCAGAGTCTGATAAACAGATACTGTGTGCAATCTGTTGCCTTTCTGTCACAGACACTGCTAACAGAGACTGCGCAAAATCTGCTCGTACAGGTTTGGTTATTTAGGTATGCTTCTATCGGCAGTTTGTTTTATCCAGTCGTACAACAGTGTTTTCTTCTACACGTTGTCGGTATCTAGACCTTTTTTCTTCCGGTAATCGTACTCCGATTCGTAAGCTGGTGGGTGATTGTGATCATCCACTCCTGTGGGCATAAACGTCTCCGAGATCACCGCGCATTTACCCCGGCAACCGCGATGTTGTTCCGCACAACGATAGTGTAACCTATTCAGCCCTTCGGAACGTGATGTCATATTGTATACGTATCCTGCGTGTACCAACTGTGGCCTACCTCTGGCTGACAATCGATACGTCACTGGTACTTCCTCTGCAAAATCGCGTCGATTTTCTTTTTGTCGAGATTAATTCTTTGAGCAACCAAAAAGCCTAATGAGAGTCTTTGTATGTATATACTAACAAAATTCAATTCCTGAAGAGATATACTGAATGTTTCAATTACTTCTGATCTTCCACAATGACACAATTTAATACCCGTATTCATAGTCAGGCTTTATATTTAAGGATTCCTTAAGTTCATCTTCAGATGCTCTGTAGTCTATAAAATGATTCGTGGAACATCTGAAGATGAACTTAAGGAGGCCTTAAATATAAGGCCTGTTTATGAATACAGGGCATAAGTCATTATATATTCAACATCAGACTCTTATTTGCTCTTTTTGTTTAATATTTCATAACATACTGTTTAAAATAATGCAAATTGCAGGCAATTTTATATGAATAATAAAATACTAGACAATTTTATATGAATAATATAATAAAATACTGTACCTGATTGCATCAAATTATTCGAATTCGATTGATTAGTTAATGCAAACATTTCTTGATCACCATTATTAGAATCATTGTTCTCAATCTCATATTTACTATTCTCACTTTCAGGATCATTCGCGTCTTTTTCACTATCATCTGATAAGAGATAGATATCGTCGTTACTATTAATATTTACATTATCCTTTGGTTGCTTGACCAAGTTATTTTCATTTTCAGACGAATATTTCTTTCTTTTTCTCGTGTTTTTCTTATTTATTTTCTGAGAAGAAGCTGATCCATCTGACAGTTTCCTCTTACTTCTCTGTTCACTATTAGTGTCTGACAATGTGCTAATATTCTCGGCATTACACTGTGTATGCGATGCATTGACGTAATTATTTATCATTGGAATGATTTGTCCTTCATGATCCTCCAAGCCTTTTATCTGGAATATCTGTGCCGTTTTCAAGAATGTGGGTAGGTCCTCTCGCTTTACATTCACTTCTCCTTGATACATAAACTTCAGCAGAGCCTCAATCTCCATTTGTTTTATATCTTTGAGTATTATCACTGGATGTTGGCAAGGATTTGTCTATAAAATAATCCTAAATTTTTACTTAATTGTATTTATCATAGAGTATGTAAAATGTAATAATTGTACCTTAAATATGTTCTTGAAATATGGGCTGCATACTGAGAGAACTAACTTGTGGGCTGTAATTAAATGTCCATCTACAGCAAGTGTTACATCGACTAAATTATTCTCATTTAAGTGGGAGAGCAGACCAGAAGTTATCGTTTCAGCATAATTATCCCACTTTAAGGAGAATTCTTTTGACGATAATTCCATAGCGATATTTACCTACAGCACAAAATAATCCTTATAATCTGAATTTTCTTATATAATAAAATAGTTTTTTTATCAGTTACTTTCACTATATATGAATATATAGAGTGAAAAAAGTATACATGTTTGTACCAACAGAGAGCTTTAGAATAAGTATAATTTTGGTAAATTATGTTAATATTTAATGTATATTTATAAATGATTGTTGCCATATGTAAATTATTCCTAGGTTAATATGAATATACTTGTAATAAGTCAATTAATACATATGAGGAAAAATCCTCCTGATATTCTTACTAATTGTGATAATGTAGAAATAGTTTGATATATATTTATATATATTTCAGAGATTACTAATATGACTGCTATTATAAATTAAAGTATTTTATATGATTTGACCATTCTGATTATTTATAAGTTATTTTAATAATTTGAATTTATAATAGTATTTCCATATTCACAAAATGAAGATTCATCACCTTTCCGCTAAAAACCCGACCGTTCTATATCAAGGATCAACGAAGATGCACCTATTACAATAGCTGTCAAACATTTCTGTCACCAAGAAAAGATAATGATGGTACGACTGCCACCGTGATTTTTACTTTATTGCACGATGAATTCATTTTCATTGATTTTTAGTATTAATTAAAATTTTTGATTTTTGCGAGCGTTGTATGTAAATATAATAATTTATTATTTTAATATAAATACAGTATAAGAAGCATACTTAATTAGAGTAATGTTATAGAATTATAGACACAACTTGTGCGACAGTGGTCTGTTTTTTATAGTTGAATTGACTGTACTAAAGACCAAATCACACTAGCGGTTGGCGATTGACGATTGACAATTAAAGATTAGATTTTAACGAATCAACAAGCTTCAGCTTTGGCTTGCTTTGTTCCAATTGGTCAAGTTTCAATCTTTAATCGTCAATCATCTATCGCCAATCGTTAGTGTAATTTGGCCTTAAAGGCCAAATCACACTAGCGATTGGCGATTGACGATTGAAGATTAGATTTTGACGAATCAACGAGCTTCAACTTTAGTTTGCTTTGTTCCAATTAGTCAAGTTCCAATCTTCAATCGTCAATTATCAATCGTTAATCGCTAATGTGATTTGGTCTTTAAAACCTGTTACACTACGGTCTGTTAAGCCCGTATCAGACTACGGATTAAGATTGAGATTGAATTAAAAATTAGGCAATCAGAGCAAAGTTCACCAAACTTGAGCTTAGTGAATTTTGCTCTGATTGGCTAATTTTTAATTCAATCTCAATCTTAATTCGTAGTCTGATACGGGCTTTACACTACGGATTGGAAATTGAGGATTGCGGATTGAAGATTAGATTTTGACGAATCGATGCACTTTGGTCTTAACCTGCTTGGCTCCAATTGGTCAAGTTCCAATCTTCAATCCGCAATCTTCTATCTCCGATTCGTAGTGTAACATGAGCTTAAAGCCCGTATCAGATTACGGATTAAGATTGAGATTGAATTGAAAATTGGCCAATCAGAGCAAAGTTCATCAAACTTGAGCTTAGTGAATTTTGCTAAGTGGGAACACATCCTAAAGCCCGTATCAGACTACCGACTGCACAGGCCGACCCGACTAGTTAGCCAATCAATCACAATCGCCAATTCGGCGCCTCACTGTGATTGGTCCATTGAGATTCGGCAATCGTAGTCGGCAGTCGGGTCGGCCTGTGCAGTCGATAGTCTGATATGGGCTTAAGGGTATCCATGCAGCGGAATAGCGGAGCACGGAACGAGAGTAAAACCAATCATGAGCGGAAGCAATCACGAGCGAGCGAAAACTGTGGAACGCTCGTGATTGGTTCCACTCTCATCCTGCACTCCGCTATTCCGCTGCATGAGTTTGCACCCTGATTGGTACGCACGTTCTGTTTTGCTAAGAATTTCCGCCTAATGAAACATCGGCCTCAGTGCTTTGCAATATTAATAAATAAATCAATCAAATAAATAAAAAACTGAGTTTGACCTCCTTCTCTCTTACTTCATGATTTTAGATAAGCATGTTCGACTGGCTCTGGGTTAATCCACTCTGGGTTATTCAGCCTACGTTTATTGGTCGAACAAGTACTTATAATCTTTATGATTGTCTAGTAGAGACTTATGACGTCATTAATTGCTCTAGGAGCGATTAACCCAGGGCCAGTCGAACACGCTATTAGATAGTTTTAAACTTAGGCCCGGTTTCAACATGAGTTAATCAAATTAAGAGGCCTATTCTATAAAGGTGCCAATACATGGGAGCATTCAAGCATCAAGCGTTAAAGCGCTAGCCAATCAACGTATCAGGTTCCAGAAGTATATTTGTAGTTCTTGCGGAAAGTGGCACGTTGACTGGCTACCGTTTTAACGCTCGACGCTCGATGCTTCCATGTAAAGTCATCTTAACGTTTAGTAATGTCGTTATGTATCATTGCACAGTTATTTTATAATACAAAAAATCTGCGCAATGATACATAACGATGTCGTTAAAAGTTATAGAATATAACCCCTAAATTGTCGTATGGATCAGTTTAGCAATTGAACAATGCGATTAGACAATTCCGTTGAGTCAATTTACCGATTTGATTACCTTGCGTTAGTAAAACCAAGCATTAGATATTTTATACATGTATATTACATTTTTTACATATTTTACGTAATATACATGTACATTACGTTTAATGTAAAAAACCCTAGAATTTGTCAAATGTCCCAACCTTGCACCCGGGTAGGGAATCTGAACGCAGTTCTATATAATACGGTCCTTTTAAAGACGGCCGCCTGATATTTTTCCCTGACCACTCGTTAAATACGGGGTACATATTATGGACTTCTTCGAAATCAATTCCGATCGGAAACATTCAGTTATTTCCTAGATTTCTATTATTTTTTCTAGGGGAAATGGAATTATTCCGATCGAAATTGATTCCGAAGAAGTCCATAATACTCGGGTATTAGCCATTGAATAAAGAATACTAGGAAGGAACATAAACCTACTAATGTATAAATCTACAAAAATAAAAATTATAAAAACATTATTTAATTGATTTATTATTATTCACATTGAATATTATTCACATAATATTAAAAAAAGAATTAAAAAAGAATTCAGTCGTATGTCACCAATTCTAAATTTATTTTTAGATGCAAAAAGAATTCTTCAAAATTCAGCTCAGTGAAAAGAATTCTTTTTGCATCTAAAAATGAACTCAGAATTGGTGACATACGACTAAATTCTTTTTGAATTCTCTGTGCTATCTGGGAATGTTATATTTGTAAAAATGCAAGATATATCTTTTTATCGAAATATTACTCTTTCCGTTTTAAAGATTCTATGTGACGTTTACAGTTATCTTGTACTTCTGGCAACATCAAATATTTCACTAATTTCTCAATGTCAGCTTCTCTATTTTCCTCAAGCCATTGGATTATTTTTCCTCGTAGGTCCAATTTGGTTACCTTCCTGCTAATGGCTATATCAACAAGTGCGTTTGATTAACAAAGAAGCATACAGGATTACATGAGATGAAATAAAAATCTCATTCTTACTTGATATATCGTCGTAAGATAATATATAATTTTTACATTTTTCTATCGCATCGGCTTTATCAACAGCAAGTTCGTTCACAAGACCTATTTTCAATGCCTCTTCTGGTTTAAATGTTGAGCTCCTGTGGACAAATATATTATGATTATAATTCATAAAATTATTAGAAGTGTATGTTCATTAATATATTACACACCTTAAAAGTGCAATCTCGGCCTGTCGATAGCCTGTCAATGAAATAAATGGATGTTGGAACCACTTTGGAACGTATAAACCTACTCGTGTGTCAGTGATTCCAATCTTATGTTGTCCTTTAACAAAAACTCTGTACTCCGTAGATATCGCCATCAAACAGCCGACGCCATAGCTGGAGCCCTATATAAAGTGTAGGAATATAATGTTCTTAATATTATAATTTTATACATGTACACTAGTGGTCTGAAAGGTTGTGCGCCGATTTTTTGTAGATTTTGGAACGCGTCCCAACTTCAGAAGAGAGACAACCACTGCTTGACACGCCAACGTCGCCACTTATTACGAGAGCAGAAGGATGGCATATACGGTATATGCCATTTTTCTGCTCTCATAATAAGTGGCGGCGTGGCGTATCAAGCAGTGGTTGTCTCTTTCCTGAAGTTGGGACCCGTTCCGAAATCTACAAAAAATCGGTGCACAAACCTTTCAGATTACGAGTGTACATACATGCAAACATGATGTAAATATAAAGGTGTATCATTGCGCATGATGAAGCAATGTGATGATTACGTGATGATGACATAATATGTAGTGAACAATTAGAAATGTGCAGGAATGTAACCGCGAAATTCAAATGCCCAAAATTAATCGTACATATGTACTAATATGTATTTAAACTTAAAATCTGTAATATATATATATATATATATATATATATATATATATATA